GGAATGAACCACTGTTTTCCTCGTAGTCCAATGTCGAATTAAAACTAAAAACATTTTGTACTTTTTATATACCAAATTATGCAATTTGTTTCCATTTTATTTTAATGTTACATGAATAGGTACATGCGTTTGTGCTGTGGTAAATAAGTGTTCATGTGAAAATTATCTCAAACTACATTGTGATTGCACTCATCTCAAAACTGAATGCTGTAAATCCAGGATTTAAATCTTTCATAGTGTTGCTTGTGATAAATTGTAAAAAAGGTGTTGGACAAAACGTTTACAACCTAAAATTGCATGAAAAACATGATAGAAGAAGGAATTTTACCTTTATGACATTCTCTTTCAACATTTTTAAGTGACTTTGTGGTTTGGTGAATGGACTGTTACCACAGTCAAAAGATTCAAAGTAAAAAATAATAATACATAAGTTGAATATGAAAATGTAATTACTTGATTTAAATGTGATTTAATTAAGAGTTAAATAGAGGTTTCATATAAACAAAGTGCTGTAAAATGTTAGTAAATGCAAAACCATTATTAAAGAGGAATTAGTTATCATCAATAAGATATTTTGTAGTAGCTGGTCTCTATAAATAATAAACTTGAAAGACTGAATTAGTAGTCAGTTTTACACTAGAAGTAAAAACAAAAAAAAAATGTGTGGTTGAGACTAATTTATGTATTTAATAAAAACATATTTAACATAAAAGCAGGTGTTATTTGAAATGTTTTATTTTAGTTTAATAATCTTTATAAATTGTGGGTTCATTTGATCCGAATCTTGCAAATACTATAAAATGCATATGCTTCTATATGGTTAGTATTGGAGTAGAAGCACAAAAGTTTTGAATAAAAATATGGATACCGGAATATTTTGCTTGATTACTAAACTTTGGATGTTTTTGTTGTAGTCTGCTGTTAACACTATTGTCCTGAAATATTAAAAAAGCTAGACAAAGGTTTGTCCAACTCTTTTGTCAGCTTTGTTAATCTATGCTACTGTTATTCTGCATGCAGACATTTTTTACTGGAGATTTTCTCTAAGAACTGTATTCAGTTTCAAATTTCGGCCAGTTTTAGGAAAGTACCTCTGTTATAAAGGTATTTCAAATCCATCCTTTGTAAGATGTAGACAACAAATACATGCTAAAATGTATAGAAAACAAATGGCAAGATAATACACAAAATTATTTAAATTAACTAAAAACATACAAATGAAGTGAATAATACCTACCAACAATTTAAAAAGACCTAAAATAAATAGACTTAAGGGACTGGAGCTCTAAAAAAGGGAGCAATAATTTGTTATGCATTATATATAAGAAAATTGTCTTCATGTCTTCAATTACCTTTTAAAATAAACAAAACTAAAACAGCACAAAATTGAAAGTGATCTACTTTTCCCGACGTATTTTATGTACATTTGAGATTAATAATTTATTAAATTGAAATATTTTATCCTAAAAAATATGGGCATTTTATAATGGAAATGTCATTTAAGAAATGACATTGATTTTTTTTCTTATATTGGTAAACCTGGCGACTACAAGTTGCCACGTTGCCAGATCAATGGTGACTACTATTTCGAAAAAAATGGCGTCCAAAATGGACTCCTATGTCGCGACCCCCTTAGATATACCAGCCCTGGATAGGTACCTACTTAAATAATGTAAGTTTATAAAATATGTGCATAATTTAAAGAATTTTGAAGGTAGGTATGTATCAAATTTATTATTTATATTAATTACAAACCTCGTAAAAATGATGGTAATAGTGTCCAGGCATTTCCCCTCATAACGTAAACAAACCCTATTGAATGTGGACTCTATGAAACATATATGCTCGAAGATTTTAATAGATTTTGAAAAATAAAAAACATCAAAGTCTTGTTTTAAACTTTATTTAAAATTAAACAGAAACATAAAAAAATACAATACCATTTCACACGAAGTGAATAGATCAATCCAAGACAGTAATCTATTTTATAGCAAGAATCACAACGTCGTCAATATCTCTTCGTAAAATTATCAGATACACAGTTAGATACGTGCTATTTAATGAATGTAATGACTTGAGATACACAATTTTGTGAAATTGTAGAGCATACTTTTCTACATAATAAGTGACTTGTCTCAATTTTTTAAGCTACGTCACTTCATGATATATTGACGATAACATCATATAAATAGAACTTTCATATTAAAATAGTAGTTTGTGTAGCAAGAGTGGGGTGACCGGAAAAAAGCGCAAAGGAAATAAGCGCACAGGAAATATGCGCACAGAAAAAAGCGCACAGACATATAAGCTCACAGGAAATAACCGCACGAGGAAATATGCGCACATGGAAAAAACCGCACACGGAAAAAAGCTCACGGGTATAAAAGCGCACATGGAAAAAAGCGCACATTGAAAAAAGCGCAAAGTGCATGTAGTTTATATTTATATTTTGTTATAATTTTTTGTTGTTTGATTAAAACTTTAATTATCGTTGTTTACAGTAGTTACCATAATTATTGCTGATAATTCAGGAATCTACTCAGTTATTTATTCGGAATTATTATAAGTACGATACAAAGAATAGATCTGTACCTTGGTTTGTTATATTCCAGGTGAAAAATATTAGACAAGTTTAAAAAAATTCTTAAAATACTTTCACAATAAAGTTAATATGGTTGATAATATTTATATCTTCATTATGGATTGTTGAGGACAGACTAATTTCACCAAATCCGCTTTTAAAAAATCATAACGATCAGTTTAGCCGCGAGGAAATTATGCTGATGGGGGTGTATATTTTACTTATCTCATACAGTGTGTATCTTAATTAAAACGAAATATTTGCAAGTAGTCATTTATTTTTACTGGAGATTATAAAATTAAGATAGGTACTTATTATTTCATTTATTAGTTACTTTTTTGTTAATAATTTTTAATTCAGGATAAATCCCATGCCGTGAATCTCTTTCTTTATAAGTTGCCACATTGCAGTTTCAAGTAACTTGTATACTTTCGTCTTTTAACAAGCAGAAGGCAACGGAAACAGACATTTCATTTGCATATGCATGGATGTTAAACAGTTTGGCAGCTCAATTTTCCCATTTAAGTTGGCGAAATTAACGAAATTTTTCGAAAATAATTAAAGGGTCACTAAACGGCATTTACAAGAATTGATAGTCGAACCGTTTTAAATAAAGACACGAATTAAACTCAAACTGTGCCTAATATTTTAACATTTAAAATCTTCTTAGAATAATGTTAGGTACTCATGGATTACATCATTAATATCTATTTATTATAGACCGTTACATTAATTAGACAAAAGTTTTGCAAATTTAACAATCTTGTAAACAGTTTGTTGGATTAATTTTAACATATGATTGAGCTTGACAATTTAATAAAATATGTACAAAATGGTATAAACTCGGTTGAGAATTATAGAAGTTGGATTAAAATCAGAATGACATTCCCATGCATTTGTTGTTCTGTATACATAATATCTGTGATATAAGTCCGCATATTTGGTGGTTACTTTTCACACCAATATAATTTTTGACTATGTATTCATAGAACTTAATTTTTTTATTTTTATTCAGAGAATCTTCAGTTGTTCTGTATCCTATTCTTAACGAGATATAAACGACATGTTCTTTACGCTTTTTTCAATGTGCGGTTTTTTCCATGTGCGCTTTTTTCCTTGTGCGCTTTTATACCCGTGCGGTTTTTTCCGTGTGCGGTTTTTTCCGTGTGCGCATCTTTCCACGTGCGCTTATTTCTTGTGCGTTTATATGTCTGTGCGCTTTTTTCTGTGCGGATATTTCCTGTGCGCTTATTTCCTTTGCGCTTTTTTCCGGGATTCCAAGAGTGGATATGATAGCCATGGTCAATTCACTCGAGTTGTACAGTATATTTTTCTACAATTTAAAAAAATATTTTAGGTTACTAAAAGAAAATAACTAATTTTAAAATGATTTATGACTTTTATTAATTTAAAAAATAAAAAAAAAATTCAGTTATTCAATTCGTTTATCGGTGTTTATGCTTGCATAAATATTAAAAATTCATCAGCTTTTTAATAAATAAGGAAAACAAATGGAGATTGCCGCTTTTGCTACTCACTTTGACATATTGCTATATATATATATATAAATCAGTGTTCGTTAAGTTAAATTAAAAAAAACTGGTAGGGGAAGAGGTGGTAGATTTAGCCATGGAGTAAATTCGTCCATCTTATCCTATACTGCCTTCTTTTGTATCTACCGCAAAATTTTAGCATAGTTATGTTAGTAATGCAGTTTTTTTAAGTATAAGAAGTGTCGCAAGTTGTGTGTGCAGCTAATTTTTTTTTAAGAAATTATAATACAATTTTTTTACAATTAAAAGGTAAGTTTTTCACCTCGAATTTGTAAAGTATATTAAATAAAAAAAAGTACAGTATATAGTAGTTCTTTATAAATGATTTCAATACGAAATCTAACCTAAAATATTGACGGTTAATTTCCATCTGTTCAAATGTCATGTGGGGGTAGATTCGTCTAAAGTGGCCGAGACGCGCTTAGTTACGTGACCGAAAGTACCTCACCATATAAATAGAATGTCTAAATATTATTTGCTACATTTTTTAGTCAATTTAATATTATATTTTTTCAGATGTCACGTACATATGTCTGTAAAACCAACCGGCAGAATATAGACGAGAATAATATAAAGAATGCTATTGGTAATTCTTTAAGAAAAGTGATTTGTCCATAAAACTGCAAGGCGGTATGAAGTGAAAAGATCTACATTGCAGTCAAGAATAAAAACATTATTAAAAAAAAAAAAAAACAACAGACAGTCTTATCTATTATTGACAGATTCTGTAAAGGAAAGAAATACAGTAGTATATACCGATGGCTTAAGTGCAAAACGTCGTAACCCATAAAATTTCAAAAAATCGCTTTTTGCGTCATTGGAGTCGTATGTTTTAGCTGCGTCTTGTGTAAAACTATCGTAAGCAACAGTATAAAATGAAATTAATTTTACGCGCCAAAACAAAAAGTTGCTCTTCGAAATTACATCTAAAGTCTATTTGGTTTTTTATTCTCCTGTAAAATGTACTTTTTGGAGTTACGACGTTTTGCACTTAAGCCATCGATACACTGTTAAACAAGTTTTCATAATACCTCATAAAAGGGAGCTTGTGGAATATATCAAGAAATTGACCTACGAATATTCACAAATGCTGACACCAGAATAGCTTAACCCTTAACCACGGACAGGGAGTCTATCAGACTCCGCGGCGTGCATTTTACCCATCGAGATAGAATAAAGGGGAGACGCTATGACGTTACTAAAAGTGTCCGCACTTTTCAATAAGCATTACATTTTTACGTCATGTGTCAAACTAACGTGACCTAGTCAGTTTTATTACTGATTTGGTGAGAATAAACGCCATTTTATTTAAATAGCTACACTTAAATCTTATAAAAGGTTGTTTATTTTAATTTGAAATAATGGTATCATGTCCTATAAGAAGCTGTTGCAGCAGTGACAGCGTTAGTAAGAAAAAAACTTCAGGAATTACATTTCATTAGTAAGTCTAAAGCATATTCTCAACAATTATAAGGACCGTATTCTTAATTTTTGTTTCAATGTTTGTGTGTTAATTAATCATAATTTACTTTTCTAATAATATAAGTATATCAATCTTGCTAGTTTAGATTCTGATAAAAATGTAATGATAATTATACATCAGTAGTGATGCCCATATAAATCATTTGGGCTTTTATATGATCTTTTTATATGATCTTTATGATCATATTTTATGCTATTCCTGTAGGTACAGTTAAGGAATAAGTTTTAAATTTTCACAACGCTAAATATACAAATACTTGAATTATAGATTTCCAAAGAACTCTGTAACGCGGGATTCATGGATTGGATTTGTAAATAGAGTTGACTGGAAACCTTCAAAATATAGTGTACTATGCTCTAGACATTTTGAAGAAAACTGTTTCTATAGAAATTCTGTACATTTTGTTCGTCTAAAAGATTATGCGATTCCGTCTTTGCTGAATCCAAGTTTAGTTCTCTTAGCAGATGTGGTCGGTCACATGAAACAATTAAAAGGAACCAAAAGAGATTAACTCATATGTGCACGCAGTTTAGATCAGCAAAGAAAACTAATATTTCGTGCAATTTTTTTATTGAAATAGCAAGGCACTTTCGGCATTTAGCCATCTAAAGTGCTTATTGTCAAGCAAAAAAGTCCTTCAATGTCGGTTTTCATCGTTATTTTAATAATGAACTATTGAAGAATCCTATCTTGCTAAGTCACCATTTTTAATGAGTTGTTAAAAAGTGTATTGTTAATTTGTTTAAATTTCAAAGTTTAAGACCTTCTAATTAAAGATTTTCGTTAAGGCAAAGTAAACAATAAGAACTAAAGATGGTGTAATACTTTGCTGGACATCAAAAAGAATTTTCCAGAAAAATTATATATATTTCTGGTCTCATATTTTTAAGAATTTATTCTATAATTGAGATACAATCTAGAAAGAAAGTCACAAAATTCGAGAAATCTTCTTCAATTTGGTTACAAAAAACCTCTACAAAAAATTTTGACAATATTTTAATATTTTTGGATATGGCCGATAAATATATTGACGGCTTAAAAACACATTGCAATGGGCAATTATTATTAGACAGTGGAAGGCATACGAGATTTTTAGGATTACAAGTCTGTATCCACAGTACTAAATGTTTATTTAATTCTTTAGTTGTGCAAAACAATTTATTATCTTTCTTACCAAAATATAAAATCTCCCAGGATAACTTGGAATTATTTTTTTGTTCGATCCGTTTACATGGGGGTTATAATAACAACCCCACAGTAAGACAATTTATGTCAGCCTATAAACAGCTACTCGTCCATGTAGAGTTGTGTGAAAATTTTCGTGGGAACTGTATACCCTTAGAAGAGAATAGTATTTTAAAGTGCGATGTAGTCGACAACTTAATATAACATCAACTGGATATTCATTTTCCAATCAAGCACAAGATTATGAAAATGATCCCTTTGAAATTATTGAAGCCATCGAATTAGATCACGGTTATGTACGAGATCCCTGTATTACTCCATTTTCGAAATATGTAATTACTTACATCGCGGGTTACGTTGTTCATTCTATAAATAAAAAAATATATTATGGACAATGTTCTCAAGCACTAATAAGTGATACAAAAAATATTAATATATATTCATTCATATAGATATGAAAAATAAAAACAAATTGCATTACCCATCAGAAGATGTTATCGCTATCTGTATGACATGTGAAAAGCTTTTAAAAAACAGAATAATTAGTTTCTGAAAAACAGATTTCACTTGACATCTTGATTCAGTTAGTATTAAGAGAATATACTTCTTCAAACACATTTTCAAGTCTTATACAACATGGATTAGATTAGTCAGTTTTTGATAATCACAGAACATTATTATTGAAATGTGTTGCGAGTAGGTACCTAAATGTAAGAATGTGCTATTTATCAAAAAATAAAGCAAATAAGAAAATTAGCATAAGACACCATAGTAATAAGATGGTTTTATTTAAAAGACAATAAAACATTAAAAAAAAGACTTTTAATTTACCCAGATAAAATCATTTATTCTAATTAAAAAACATGTGTTGGAATTAAAGCAATTTTTTTGAACAATACATTTTATATATTTTCTTAACATTAGTTAAATATTTTCATTCCGACAATCTTCAAATATAAAATTACTGACTTAAAATCAAAGTACTACTCTGTCTACGTCGCCATTTTAATTACATTTTTCTGTCAGTCTTAGCATCGCTAAGTGCGTCCATATGTCTTATCGCAAAATAGTGTTTATGTCATCTCTACTTTATTCTATCTCGATGATTTTACCTCATTACTCCCACTACAACTGATATTTGCTGCTGCTTTGTGTACCTTCCGCATTTTTAGTGCTCTAGAACGTCTCAAAGTAGCAGTATCGTGAAATTTTATTTTATTCTGATTTTGCATACCGGGAGTCTCTCAGACTCCGCGTCCGTGGTTACGTGATAAAAAAATTAACGTTATGGCAAATTCTACGCCTGGTCCATCGAAGAAAATGAATATTTTAGATGATAATTTTGAAAAACAAGCGATAATATGGTTCGATGAAACAGACTGTGATAATAGTGACATCGAAGCTGATGAAAATGTGCATTTAGAAAGTGATCATGAGTCTGCGAGCGAACAAGAAGCTAGTGACGACGAGCAGGACTATTTGCCTGATAATGAAAATTATAATATCGAAGTTTCTGACAATGACGAGAGTGACAGTGATGAATTTGGAGCAAGTGATGGTGGTAATAAGAAGCGGAAAATAAAACAAAAATACTTCTATGGAAAAAATCGCTGCAAATGGAGTACAACTGAACCTGTGAGAAATATTCGCACCCAAGCTCATAACATTTTACGTTTGCCAAAAGTATTTTTTAATCAATTATTTTCTGCAGACATGTATGACATTATCGTTACATGGACAAATAAAAAGTAAGCTAGTATGCGACAAAAATACAAGCGACCTAATAGACCCGAACTTACAGACCTTACAATGAATGAACTAAATGCTTTTGTAGGATTACTTCTTTATACAGCAATTTTCAAATCAAATAATGAATATATCCGAAGTATTTTCGCTACAGATGGTACAGGTCGAGATGTGTTTCGAGCGGTTATGTCAATGGAACGTTTTTCGATTTTATTAGTTGCTCTGCGATTTGATAATCCAGAAACTCGAGAAGAAAGGAAAAACGATGACCCGGCAGCAGCAATAAGTGAACTATTCAACAAGTTTGTTGAAAATACCCAAAAATCCTATACAATTGGAGCAACAGCTTGCGTTGATGAAATGTTGTTGGGATTTAGAGGACGATGTAAATTTAAAATGTATATACCATCCAAACCTGAGAAATATGGCATAAAAATTATGGCGTTAACAGATGCAAGAACACAATATCTATACAATGCATATATTTATGCCGGTAAAGATACTGATGGACGTGGATTATCACAGAGTGAAAAAAAGCTGAGTAAACCATCCCAATCAATTGTGAGACTCGCTAGGCCTTTATATAATTCAAATAGAAATATAACAGCTGACAATTGGTTTTCGTCTATGGAACTTGTTGAATATTTGCTTAGAAATGGACTTACATTTGTTGGCACACTGAAGAATAATAAGAGGGAAATTCCGCCAGAATTACAACCCAAAAGAGGCCGTGAAGTAGGTGATACAGTTTATGGATTCAAAAAAGATGTGACCATTATTTCATATACCACTAAGAGAAACAAAGCAGTTATTCTTTTATCATCTATGCACCATTTGAAATCAACTGATCCAGAAACTGGAAAACCAGAAATCATCAGCTTTTATAATTCAACAAAGGGTAGAGTGGATGCAATGGATGAAAAATGTGCTAAATATAGCTGCAGTCGTCGCACTAGGAGGTGGCCTATGGCAATATTTTATAAACTGTTGTACATTTGCAGTACAAACTCCTACATACTGTACTCATCATATCCAGGAAATGACATGAAGCGTTTCATCTTCGTGAAAAAATTAGCAAGCTAGTTGATATAAAATCATTTACGTGAGAGACTGCAAAAACCGCAGATAAATAGGGGAATAAACTCATTGATTTGTCAGATTTTGCAAATACCTAATAAGGCGCAGGATTTAAATGAAGGACGACTTAAAATTCGGAAATACTGTTACATATGACCTTCTAAATTGAAAAGAAAGACTGCATTTACTTGTAAACAATGTGGAAAACCTATTTGTCTGCAATGTTCGAGAAAATGTTGCATAAACTGTGTGAATGAACGAGACTAAGCAAAAAAAAATTATGTTAAAAATTTGACTTACACGTTTTTTTTATAGTTTTGCTTAAGAATTTCATTTTACTTATTATAATTTTTATAAGTGTTACATTCATATTTTTGCATTTTCTTTTTCGATTCTTTAGTTTATAAACATACTATGTAATTACATTTGACTTGGTGTTGGAAAAAATTTTGAGAATTTACTTTTCCATTTTCTTTATTTTTTTGTAAGAAATGTATATTTTTTCCAAATAAACTACATAAAATAAACATTATTTAATAATTATTTACAGAAAAAAAAGTATAAAAAAACACATTACATTTGTTTCGAGTTGGAGTCTGACAGACTCCTTGTCCGTAGTTATCAACAGTTATCTTTAAGAAAACCGGAGAGTACGAGCCTCAACAAGACAATGGCATTAAATAAAATTAAAGTGGGGGAATTTTTTTCTAATTATGTTAGAGTCCTAGAAAGATATAAATTCAAACCAGAGTAAAAGTATAACTTAGACGAAACGGGTATATAAACGGTGATGAAACCGGGCAAAGTTGTCTCCACATATAAAGAAAAAGTTGGACAAAAAGCTTCGGTCAAACGAGAAGAATAAGTCAATTTTGTTGGTATAATAAGCGCCACTGAAAGAACAATTTTAGCAGTTTTTGTTTTTCCTCGCCGCCTAAAAAATGTGAATGACTTTTTGGATGGTGCTCCCATTGCTAAACATATTATTCAGCATACGAATTGTTCCGTTAAGAAACTATTATTATTGATCGACAATCATGAATCGCACACATTCTCTGGAGCAATACAGTAATGCAGAAATAGTGGAATAGTACCTTTATCCTTTCCTCCACATACTACAATCGTCTTCGGCCTCTGAAAATTCCTGTATATGAGCCTTTCAAAGTACGCCTAAATATTGCTTTCAATGATTAAATGCTCACCCATCCTGGAAAAATGATAACCATCAAATGACCCAACACTAGTAAAACTTTTGACTACTCGTTCAGTAAGAAAAATATCATAGGTGGCTTTGAAACTTTAGGCATTTGGCCTCTTAATAAGCTTGCATTTAACGATGAAGATTTCATGCCGAGCACAGTCAAATTTCACATTTAAATGGTTTTTCATTACTGTGAATTATTAAATGTTTTTGTAAATAAGATTTTTGATTAAATCCTTTTGAACAAATGTCACATTTAAATGGTTTTTCATTGCTGTGAATTATTAAATGTTTTTGTAACCTAGATTTGTAATTAAATCCTTTTGAACAAATGTCACATTTAAATGGTTTTTCATTGCTGTGAATTATTAAATGTTTTTGTAACCTAGATTTGTAATTAAATCCTTTTGAACAAATGTCACATTTAAATGGTTTTTCATTGCTATGAATTATTAAATGTTGTTGTAAATTACATTTTTGAATAAATCCCTTAGAACAAATGTCACATTTAAATGCCTTTTCATTACTATGAATTATTAAATGTTTTCCTAAATTAGATTTTTGATTAAATCCTTTTGAACAAATGTCACATTTAAATGGTTTTTCATTGCTGTGAATTATTAAATGTTTTTGTAACCTAGATTTATAATTAAATCCTTTTGAACAAATGTCACATTTAAATGGTTTTTTATTGTTATGAATTATTAAATGTTGTTGTAAATTACATTTTTGAATAAATCCCTTGGAACAGATGTCACATTTAAATGCTTTTTCATTATTATGAATTATTAAATGTTTTCGTAAATTAGATTTTTGATTAAATCCTTTTGAACAAATATCACATTTAAATGGTTTTTCATTAGTGTGAATTATTAAATGTTGTTGTAAGCTAGATTTTCGATTAAATCCTTTGGAACAAATGTCACATTTAAATGATTTTTCATTACTGTGAATTATTAAATGTCTTCGTAAATTAGATTTATCATTAAATCCTTTTGAACAAATGTCACATTTAAATGGTTTTTCATTATTGTTAATTATTAAATGTGTTGGTATGTTGGAAACGTCATTGATTTTCGGAGAAACTTTTCTTGATCTACTTTTTACTACATGAATAAATTGGTGCAAAAAAAAATTCATTTTTATCATGAATTTTCCACAAAATTCACAAACCACGAAGTCTTTCCCAAAATGACCGTTGTTAAGTTTCGATCTTGATTTAGAAGAACGGAAATCTGCAAATAAAATAAATTATGTTATACAATTTAAAAAAAAAATAACAAATTATCAACATTTTATTAAATACTTTGTTTATATTGTATAATTGTCATATTTTAAAAAACAAATTTCTGGAATGATGTAAATATTGTAAAATTCTAGAGGTACGTGCTTACACCTATTTTCTTGTTATAGATGTCCAAATAAGAAAGGACACCAGCCATAAACTATCTATCGTACAGATCAGAAACTATTATTTTCAAACAAAAGTGGTCACTTTTTTCAACTACTTTTCCATTAAGAATTTTGTATATTTATTGTGTAAATAGGAAAGATAATAAATATTGTTACTCGTTGAAATTTTTATTTCGTATTTTTATATTTAATATTTAAAGAGATTTTTCAAGTATTTGGTTTTGGATTCGATGTAGATAGAATCATTTATAAGATAGTATTATACGGTATGTTTTGTTTAGAAACTTCATCCCACTTGTGGCTTTCTTCCCTTATTGAAGAGTTTTATTTTATGAAAGTGAGATTATCGAAGTGATTGTTTAATATTTAGCAATTGTAAGGTAGAAGCATTTCCTTTATTGTTCTTAAGGTGAATTGTTAGCTAAACGCTGCATTAGAGCGTTGCTTATAGATTAAGGGTATTTGTTGCAGATATTTAGTGGTTAACTGTTGTAAATTCCACTAATTTAGGTCTATTACAATGGTTAGGGATGGATTTCATTAATTTAAATTGAACAATGAAGTTTTCAGCTATTTAGTGGGTTTTTTCAGAGAAGATGCCATTTTACGTCATAATTCAAACAACGGATTTTAACCTTTATCGTCTCGAAATTTAATATTGTTTTCCAATGAGCGGAGATTTATCGATTTATGTAAATGTGTCGATAGATTAATTGCAGTGATTTAATTTCTAATTTAATTTTAATTTCTTTACAATTTACCTACTATCTATTGTGTAACAAATCGATGGAGCGCTGATTACTGGGTTGTCATTTTTTTTGCAAATCCTAGTAATCCCTGCTGTAATGTTTAGGTAACAATTTGTTTTTTTGGAAACGATTCAAAATTTGCTACTTTGCTTATCGCCATGAAATATTAAACCTAATTCACTGATAATACAAAGAGGATAAAGTGACTTCCAGGCTGTTCTTTTACAAAGGTTGCTTTTATCTTTCTTCATAATTCCTTTCGTATAATTAAATAAACAAATTCATTTATATGTTAAATCTTATTTTTTTTTTAAGTTTACAACAATTCTCTTTTACTTAAATTAAATTTTATATAAGTTTTTATTAATTTCTTTTTGATAAAGCTAGAGTTTATAATTCTCACTAGCTTTTTAAAAAATAAAAAAAAAAGAGAATTATTGGTGCCCGACTCTCCCAGAAAACTATTATCCCAGAGGTGTCTTATTAGAAAAGCCGAATTCACGACTGAGAAAACTATGGTCAATGTGCTCATTTCTTTGGTTAATTTTTAAAGGCAAGTAATGTTTGGTGTTAAATTTCTATGATCTAGTTAAAATTTCTTATTACTGTTTTGAAATTAACATTTATTGCAAACTAACGTCAAGTAATTACAAATTGGCGCTGCAACGTGTCAAAGCTATTACAAGGTATGGAATACTGATATGGGGCGCAACTGCACGAACCTATATAAATACTCTTAGAACTATCCAAAAACGAATCCTAAAAATAATCATGTCAAAACCCTCTAGATATCAGACTGATGAATTGTATAAAATATCAGATATAATGGATTTAAGACAACTGTTCTATTACAATACGTGTATTAAATACCATTCTAGTGATGAAAAAGCACCTCATTCAGACCACCAGGCATCGAGAATTACTCACATACCCATTGGTAAAGAAATTATTTTCATTGAAAGTATATTCCTACATTGCCACTAAAATATTCAAACACTAGCCCTAAAACTACCAAAATGTTACAAAACAATACTTAGTACAGTTTAAAATGTTTTTACAAGAGACACTAAGGTCCTTTTTTAATGTTCAACTGTATAAATAATTTTAATTGAATCCATTTTTAGCACTTTTTTAACACTTTTTAGCACTGTTTTACATTTCTACTTTTTACTTTTTTACTGTATTATAATTATATTTATTATTGTAAATTTTAAATTGTAAATCTAATTCCAGCTAGTATTACTATTAATAATAATAATAATTAATAATAATAATAATAATAATAATAAACGTACTTTATTGGCATAACCAACTGGCCATCGACCGAAGTCCTTTAGCCTGATAATAACATTGTGATTCGTTATGATAATAATAATAATATACAATATGTAACATATCTTAAACAAAAAAAAATCAATGAATTAAATTTTGCACAAGTTTGTTTATGTCTTAAAGGTCCCAGTGTGATGTGATATATTCCCATACGGTAGTTTCAGGAAACTTCCTCTTGACATGCCTGAGTGGATCACGGAGTCTGCATAGCGGTTCAAGTATATTTATAGTCTCTTCTTTTTCACAGAATTTCTGAGTCAAATTTATTAATCGCTGCTTTATAGGTTTTACCTGTGTAATATCATAGAGAAGGGCATTAGGTGGATTATGTAATGGGTTTCTTGGGTGTCTTGATTTAGTGATGGATCGTAATGTAGTTGTTTCAGCTACTTCAATATTTTTAAGTGCGGCTTTGCTTGCATTTATGTATATTGGATGGCAATACTCTAGTATAAGTCTGCATATTGTTTTGTAGATATGAGCAGCAGTTTTCTGGGATATGCCTTCTTTTTTATAAGTTAAACTTCTATAATGTTTGCTCTTGTTATACATCGTTTCTTTACTTCAGAAGTGTGTTGCTTGAAATTTAGTTTTTGATCCATATGTACTCCCAGGTACTTAGCAGAATTTTTACATTCTATCTCAGTGTTGTTTATGGAAATAGTTGGTGTGCTGGCATGTTTTTTGTGGTTGAATATTATGAATTCTGATTTTCTGGGGTTTGGTTTTAATCTCCATCTGTTCTATCAATTAGGTATTGTAAGCTTTCTACAGCTTTATGTACATTTATATTGTGACTAATTAGGCTTGTGTCATCTGCATATTGTAGTATGTACAAATCCGTGTTTATATTGTTACTTCTTTGATCAAAATTGAATATGTCATGACAATATAGATTGTATAAAGTTGGGGACAACCTTGCGGCACTCCCTGTTGAGGGGTGAATGTTCGTGAGTATATATTGTTTATTTTTACTACTACTTTTCTATTGCACAGATAATTTTGGAGTAAGAAAAGGATGTATTTAGGACTGTTCATTAACCACAGTTTGTATAGAAGTCCTTGATGCCATACGCTGCCGAAAGCTTTGTTAATGTCCAGAAACACTGCTGCACTACACTCGCCTTTTAGTTTCGCGGTTTGTACATTGGAAGTTATTACTGTTACCGGATGTACTGTCGAACGTTTGTCTCGAAGCCCGAACTGATATACTGGGATTTTGTGACCGATTTCTTCGACTAGAATGTCTTTGATGATTGTTTCAAAGTTTTTACTTAACACTGATAGAAGGGTAATAGGTCTGTAGTTCCTTGGTTCCTTGTGGCATGTATGTGGTTTAGGAATTGTGATTATGATTCCATGTTTCCATTCGGGAGGAAAATACGTATGATTAAGGCAGTATTCATAAATGTTTTTTATGTGCATGTGTATAATATAATCTAGTTTTCTTAGTATGTTCTTCTTAACTATGTCATGTCCTGATGTTGTACTTTTCCCCTTATACACTATTTTGAAATATGCATCTTCATCTATTTGCCTATTTCCAATGTTGGGTGTGTTACTAAAATATGTTTCATGCCATGGGACTAGTTCATAATGTATGTTATCAAATTGAGGGCTGTTGTCTTCAATAAAAGCATCCCTGAAATGATCTGCAAAAATGGCTGCTTTTTCTTCATCTGTTTCGAATTTTTGGCCGTTCTTTTCCAATTGGGGTATCTGGGGTGTTTGCTTATATTTTGATAATTTTTTAATTTGTTGCCAGTATTTTTTTCCTTGTTGTTCGTTTATCTCATTGCAAACAGTTGTCCATTTATGTTCTTTGTAATGTTTTATAATAGTTTTAATATCTTTGCCATTACCGTTAATTTGACGTTTGGCTTCCTCACTAGGATTGTTTAAATGGTCTCTGTACATTTTTCTTTTGTTTTTTATTAATTTTATAATGAATGGCGGTAGTTCCTAATTATAATAATTAACTTTTTCTTTAGGTGAATTGTTCATAATGGTATTGGTTAATTTATCATTAAATTGTGTTATTATTTCGGGGTTCATTGGCCTATTGGTTATTTCTGTGATGTATTGCAGCATTGTTTCACAGGGCTTTTCATCACAATATTTTTTTGTGCGCATGCGTCAGTATCAGCCATATTTTTCGTACTGTTTTTTTGTAAACAAGCATGTTAAAATATCCACGTGAAAAAATTATAATCGATAAATATTAATTTTAAGTGTATTCGTTTAAAAAATGGGATAAAAAAAGTAAAGTAATAAGTGTCTTAATTGAAAAATCAATTTTTGTAATCAATTAATTATGTTATGTTTACGGAAACGAAAAACTAAACGGTATTGTTATGAGTATGTAAAAGTGACACACGGAATAAATTATTATTTTTTAAAAAGACTTGCCTGCAATATCGTAAAAAATCTATCAAATCATTAGGCAAAACACATAATATACCTGTTTAAAATGAGCATTATGAGTGAAAAAATGTGGTCAAAGTGACAAAGGTTTTCGATCGATTGATAATATAATAATAATAATAATGTTTATTCAAAAAGAAATAGTGTTTTACAAGAACAAGATAATGATAATACAATCAGATACAAATAAATAAATATATATAATTTAATTAACAAATTTTTATCGAATAAACATGGACCACCGTACGACTCGCTTATGACCTACACAGGTTGCGCGCGAGTTTTCTTGTTTAATTCCATTATTTAAATTCAATTTTTTTTTTTTTTTTTTTTTTTTTTTTTTTTTTTTTTTTTTTTTTTAGATATTATTGTACTTTTTAGTTCTAATTAATTTATGTCTCTTTCAATTAGAGAATGAATAATGGACCTTTCAACATTTAAAATAAATGATTTTAGAAGATCTATTGAATTGATTGATATTAAATATATTTTATACACGTTCGGCAAAAAATTGTAGATTACGGTACTTAAAAAATTTAATGATCTCTGTCCTATGGTCTTGTTTCTTAGAGCAATTTGGGTATTCTCTTCAAGTCTATATCGGGTATTATAATTATGTTTAATTGTTTGAATTATGGATTTATTTTTATAAATATATATAACGACATTGAAAAAGTATGCTTGTCTAACATCCAATAGTGATGTTTCTTTAAATAGAGAATTAGATGGGTAAGTATTATTTTTATTATAAATTATTTTTAAGAATTTCTTTTGTATTACTTTTAATTTTTTCAGATGAGTTTTTGAAGCAGAACCCCATGATAAGATAGCATAGTTGATTCTGGATTCAACAAGTGAATGATACATTATTTTAAGATATGCCGGTTTTAGAATAGTTTTCATGTATTTTAACTTATATAATAAGGGTCTTAAATTATTTGTGATGGATGATGTTACTAAAGATAGGTACTTATATTTGTATTTGTTCACTAAATTTTCATGGAGAAAGTGGTAACAGAAGAAAATCCTTGTCTGGTATTACGCAATATTTAATATTAAATACTACTTCGGTATACACAGTAATATTATTAAAAATGTCATGTTGATCCTTAAAATTTTAAATAATTTATCTTATTAATTATACTCGTGATTAACTTTCATGTTAAAGTGTTTTTGCAATTATTAATAGTTTGTTGGCATAATTAATTAGAATAGAGTTATAATTATTGTTTGTTTTCAATAATTTTTTTACACAGTTAATATGTATTGAAACCTAACCTCTCAATCACCACATTTTTTTTCCTTGTTCCGAACCTCCACGTCATTTCAAGGCCCTTTTTAATTGCTCACAACTATGTGCTTCCACAGAGTTATAAAAATGTAAATCACCATCAACGATTTTTTAATGATTGATTTGTGTGTAGAGATAATATTGCTTTTCCAGCCATTGTTGATCAAAACAGTACGAAACTTTTGAATTGTTGCTATTTCAACATGGCGGCTGCGCTTGCGCTCATCACATGATGAAAAGGCCTATTGACAGCGTCTATATTACATTTGTTGATATTTATTCTGTGTTCCTCTTGATAGTTAATAGTTTTGTTTAAGTCTATTGAAACTTCTATAGCAGAGTGTTTACAACACAGATCCTGATTTGTTTCAATTTTTGTTATATTGCTTTCTATGTTTTTTGTATATAACATCAGATCAGGAGTAGTGTCTTCATTATTATTCATATGAAATGTTGGTGGAGTTATTGCCTTTTTGAACTGACTATTTTTTGTAAAATCCTGTATCTGCTTGTTCTTGGCTTTGTTAATGTTAAAGTCTCCAATAATTATACAGTACTTGTATAGTGCAGCTTTATTAAAGATAGTTTGTTCTATTACTGAATTGGGATGTACATATACCAAAATAATATGTTGTCTGTCTTCTAAGTAGGGAACCGAAAAGTGTGTTGCTTCATTAAGAGGATTGTTAGTTCTTGGAGGGTTTTCTTTTTTCATTTGTAGGCTTGGATGAATCTGTACTAGACTTCCTCCTCTTGTGTTGACGTTTACCACATTTCCATTTTTCTGGATAGTTTTCCAGTATTTGTATTTTGTGTTACTTTCTGGTTTAGTTTTAGTTTCTACGAATAAGTCACAGTTGTTGTTTTTCTGTTCCATTATATTGCAGATAAGATGTTTCTTTGGTATATAGCTGTTGACATTAGCATATATAATTTTAAGTATAGACATGAACTTGAGCATTATTTCCTTCGATGGGTTGTGTAGGGGATATTGACAGTGGTTCGTCTAGATCAATCATCAATATGTATACTCTGTTTCCTGAGAAGTGAGCAATAGTTTCTATATTGTGTTGTGTAACAAATCTTTTTCTAAGTTTTCCGATGAGTTCTTCTCTCTGTGTATTTTTTTCCTTATTAAGTTTATTGATATATGTATTAAGAATGTGATCATGCACTGTAATATTTGAATGAATCTTACTGCTTGTGGTAATTTTTTTATCTATCTCTTTAGATTTTTTGTTTAACAATTTTATGGGATTGTTGGGAATTCCTTGAATTGTCTTTGTTGGCCGGTTTGGGCATTTCAAAGACCATGCAGAGTGCGCACTTTTGTGGAAGTTGTGTGTTACATTTGCTGAAATGGTGGGGTCCATTACACTTGCTACATTTAATTTAGATTGTACAGTTTTCTCTTGTGTGTGTAAATTGTTGGCAGTGAGAGCACGGCTGAGGGATTGGAGCTGGTGGCAGACTAGGATACACTGGAAAATGTTTGTGTTTATAAAATACACCTTCATTTAATATTTTTTCTGTGGATTGTAGGCATCCAAATATGATTCTTATCATGTATGTTGCTTTATTTGTTGCTCTAGACGTTATAATTTTACAATATCTGTGATTTATGTTTGAATTCATAAGGAATGAGCTTAATTCTTCATCTGTTATATCATGTTCTACAGATCCAATGACCACACTATATGTATTTTTTGATGTATTGCTATTGTATACCGATGTCTGAGTTGAAGGTTTTGTTTCAGAGTAGTTTAAAATATGTTTGGTTTCAATGAGTTTTTTTAAATTGTCTATAATATTCGGTTTATTTTGGTCAGATTTGATTAAAAAGCCTACTTTCGTTTGCAGAATAACCTCGTTGCTGTCAGTACTTAAGTTATCCCATAAATCAGATAATGTTTTTCTTGTCATTGTTTCTGAGGCTTTTATGTAAAATGCGTGGCTGAACGATCTTTGCGTAATTTCTTTCATTTTTAAAGAATTATTATTTCTTAAATTTATTTTGGTTGTTGGGCAGTGTATTTATGTTGTTTATTGGGTTTTCTGTGGTATTAGGCTTGTTTTGGTTCTTTTGGAATCTAGTTCAGAATCATTGAATTATACTCGATCAGCTAAGTGGTTGTTCTAACCTCGCGACGTGTTCTTGAAAAATTAATTCGTCTACTGTAATTGAGAACTGGAATCGACGGTTCTGTTTGAACCAAAACAAACCCTTTACTTTTTGATGAGTTGATATCAGTTGTTTGTTGGCTATTAGTAGGAGTGGTTGTTCCCAAAATTATTTTGTTAATTTCTTCTTGAGAAAGGTTGTCTTTAGGTTTTTTTGGTGTTTTCTCTGGGCCATTTTTGTTTTTCCGTTCTCTTTTCACTTTTTTCCAAACTCCGCAGTCATCTATTTCCATTTCAGAGTATTCGCCATCACTTTCAGTTGACATTGTCTCAAATGCGTATATCACTTGTACTATTATCTGTGTCCCGAAATAAGTGTTTACTCTTTAAAGGCTAACACAGAACTGTAGAGAAAATTATTAAAAATAAAATTACTGAAGATCGGATCCCAGAATACCAATTTGTGTTCAGAACTAGTCGATCCACTCTTCATCCCCTCACAATTCTACAGAACAACATAGAAGCTACTAAATTAAATGGAGGAAGAACAGCTGCGGTATTTCTAGATATCAACAAAGCATTTGACAGTGTTTGGCACAAAGGCCTTTTGTACAAACTACATGAATTTAATTGTTCGACATACCTAATTCAACTCTGCAATACTTTACTAAATGACAGAAAACTGTGCGTAAAAGTGTTGAACTGCCTATCAAACCAATTTACACCTGAACAAGGCCTGCCTCAAGGGTCTCCATTATCCCCACTTCTTTACAATATCTACTGTGCCGAACTTTATTATTACATGTACAACAACGAAAACTATTTTGATCACACAAGTTATGTATTACAATATGCAGATGACACGGCCCTAGTGGCCCACAACAACACTTTAAGAAACACAATCAACTCGCTGGAAAACCTAATCACATTAACTAGTGTATGGTTCCAAAATTGGCGACTAAAACCAAATCCAATGCAATCCAGATTCATAACATTCAATCATCATCCATCTCCAACCATAGCCTTTTATCATAATATATTGCATCCAGAACCCACCATTAATTATTTAGGTATTACATTC